AAATCAACTTCCAAACGTCTCGTCATTGTAAGTTAGTAAGGGGAAATGATGTTGGGTATACGAAAGAGGTTAGTAGAGGTCACTGGGGGTCAAGGAGGAATTATGGCCTCCACGACTCATGAATACTAACATTTTGATGAGGTAATTTCAGTATTTCCTGTGACTAGTGTCCTTGGGCTGCCACGAATCGTATCGCCAGAGTATAACTGTGTTCTTGTATATGACGTTATGTTATTGAGTGATGGTGGACCTTGTTGTCTTAAGGTGGCGACACACTGGCCACTTTCATCCAAACATGTTGCCCGTTTTGCTGGCCGTTGACCTGACGCCCCAGCAAGCAGCAGGATTTCTGATGTTGCGAGAAATGGACAACGATTTGGCGGGGATCTTTGCTGACTGGATTAGTGCTGAAATGAGCTTCACATAATTTCAAGTAAAAATTGAAAAAAAATCATGAAACAATAATACTGTAAAATATAACACATAAACGGTGACATAATATAATTATTCGTCACTTTAAAACTTCTTTAGCATTATTAAATCATTATTCAGGGTCTTCTTTGACCAGCCAACCGCCGCTACTTTTAAACAAACTTTACGTCACATGCATTGTCTTTTCTTTAGCTTTTGCAGACGCCTCACTTGCTTCAGCAATTGAAGAACTCTAGCACAATTCTGCAAGGGATCCATGGCGAACCTCGTCTTGACTCTGTTGTTTTTATTGCATTAGGCAGACGCGCCAACAAAACATTCCAGTGTGACGCAAAACGTCTCTTTGTTTTGCTGGCCGGAACGTGTTTACGAAACATGATTGGAAGTGCCCAGTGTGCCGCCGCCTTTAGAGGTTAATTTAGTTGGTGTTTACATAGAGGCATTTGGTTGGTGTTTACATAGGTCTCTTGCGATGGACGAGGAACTATAAGTCACTAGAGTGTTAAGACCAAGACCACAACGTTATTCACTACAGCGGGTCAAAATAACTACGATATTTTTTCCTTTTTACAAGTACGTTACGGAAAGACAATGTGTACAGTACTTAACAATACACAACGTACGATAATGATTTTTCTTCTTATTTGTTATTTTAAGTCATCATGTGACCCAAAGAGGTAAATCTTGCAAAAGGACTGAGCTATAAGCCACCAGGTGTGATAATTCTTACCTGGTTAATTAACTTTAGTGGGTTAAAATAGGTGTGGAGAGTGAGGCACCTGGCTCGGGATTGTGGTTAGGATGATGATGATGTTTGATGATTGTAGTAGTGGTGGTGGTGGTGTGATAGTGGTAGTGGTGGTGTGATAGTGGTAGTGGTGGTATGATAGTGGTGGTACTGATCTGTGGGTGGTGATAGTGAAGGTGTTGCTAGTGGTCGAAGTGGCAGTGACAGTAGTAATGGTAGTAGTGGTGGTGGAGGAAGTGGTGGTGGTGGAACGGTAATGATGTGTGGATGATGATGATGGCTGTGCTGGGGAGAGCTGCATTGGTGCCTGCCTGAGATTGCTGATGGTGACGATGATGGTGACGATGATGGTGATGCTGATGGTGATGATGATGGAGGCTTTTCGTCAAGATTTGTGACGTTCTTGAGGTTGTAGATAATGATAGTGAGGAAGGAGGTGGAGACGACAGCCTTGGGGTGAGAGTCGATACATGTTTGTGGTGATGAGTGGCGGTGAACTAAAACAGGATGAGGGTGGATGAGGGTGGTGGATGATGATAGATGTTAGTGGATGAGGATGGGTGTTGGTGGATGAAGATGGAAGTTGATGGATAAAAGTGAATGTTGGTGGATGATGGTGGAAGTTGATGGATAAAAGTGAATATTGGTGGATGATGGTGGATGAGGGTGGATGATGACATACCTGCAGTAGTGAGGAAAGAATCAGAGCAACAATACAGGTGATTATAACTTGAACACAAAGGAAGATATGATTACGACTTTACCTGTGAATAATGATACAAAATTCGAGTGTTTGATGGTGATAATGAAGGAAGGGGAACCAGGTGAGCAGGTGTGTGTATAATGAAGGAGAGAGAGAGAGAGAGAGAGACAGGGGATGGTAGGAATGTGTTGTTTTAGACCTTGGCAGTGTCCGTGATCATGGTAAGGTCATAAAAAAAAAGGACCCAACTGCTCGTAAAGGAATGTTAATGGTGACTATGAATGTAATGTAAACAAACAAAAATTACAAAGAATTAAATAAAAAATAAAAAATAATAAGATAATGTGTAGAGCCATGACAGCTTAAGTATACACCTGGTGACCACGAGACAAGACGATAGTGCCGTATTATTATTGATGCAGCGGAACCAAAAAAAAAAAAATATTTGGGTTTACAGAAGATAAATGATTGGTAAAAACTTATAATGATTGTGTAAGATAAATGTCCTTTCTAGGAGATAAGACCACGAACTGTGTCAGACCATGAACTGTGTCAGATCATGAACTGTGTCAGACCATGGACTGTGTCAGACCATGAACTGTGTCAGACCATGAACTGTGTCAGACCATGAACTGTGATGTTAGAGTAACTAAAATGAATGATAGAGACGTGAATTGAGAAACATAGAAAAAATATATAATTAGCAAATATATAAATGCATATATACATCCTTGACTGTATCTCAAGAAATGCCAAGCCTAACAAGGACTCTCTTCTCACCTTGACCTTCCTTGACCTTCCACCTACACCTCCGTCTTCTGATCTCGTGTACACTCCCCCCCGGCCGACGTCATATGTCACCTCCCGCATCAAGTGATTATGACATCAATTAGTGCAGGATCATTCCCCGCACGCCTACGACTTCTCCCACGCCCTGCCGCGCCCTCCCACGCCTCACATCCACTGGTTATGATGATATTGAGTGGTAGAAGCTCTTGCCACACGCCAGGTTGAAAGGTGTAGCATCATACGATAACACTGTAGGCAGGTGTGTGTGTGTGTGTGTGTGTGTGTGTCGGTCGTAATACCGCCTTGTGTAAGATGCTACCCTGGGGGCTACATCTCCCTCACACTAATGATGCTCTGAAGAAAAAAAACAACCTTTCGTCTCCATATTTTCCTCAGGGCGATTTGGTTAATACACTCGCTTTGTCTGTCTGTCTGTCTGTCTGTCTGTCTGTGTGTGCGTGTCTGTCTGTCTGTCTGTCTGAAACTATTTTAATGAAACTTATGGGTTGGGTTGACACTCGAGACGAATTGATTTAATCTTAGAGTAGAGATGAATGGTTAACACAGCCATCAGCAGTAACACAGATATAAACATTAAAACAGGCACCAACCAACCAACCAACCAACCGACCAACCAACCAACCAACCAACCAACCAACCAACCAACCAACCAACCAACCAACCAACCGACCGACCGACCAACCAGGTGTTTTTGCTTATGTTTATGTAACTAGCGTGAGTTTTGGAGGGGGAGTGTGTGTTATGCTGTTTACTCACTCAATCACTTACTTACTTACTCACTTACTTACTTACTTACTTACTTACTTACTTACTTACTTACTTACTTACTTACACACAAAAGTGACCGGTCTCTCGTAGCTTGAAGTGGATTTTTGTGTAGTTATGATGAGCACCATACTGTGTTGTATTTTTTCCTAAGCAACATAATGAGATACTTAAGAAGCACTCCAAGTCCTTAGCAGCAACAGGAGGGAGAATAAAATGTACTCTAGAAATTGTTAAGGTTGTAGAAATTGTGTTGCGGGCTGTAGAAAGTGTGTTACGGGCTGTAGAAATTGTGTTACGGGCTGTAGAAATTGTTAAGGCTGTAGAAATCATGTTGCTCGCTGTAGAAATCATGTTACAGGCTGTAGAAATCATGTTACAGGCTGTAGAAAATGTGTTACAGGCTGTAGAAATTGTGTTACAGGCTGTAGAAAATGTGTTACAGGCTGTAGAAAATGCGTTATGGATTCTTACTTCATTGTTGTCAGTATGAGAATAAGATCAATCTTTTATTGTGGTCTCACTCACTTTCATTATCACCACAACACATTAATTGATACTAAGCTTGATTTTGTACCTGTAATTTGGGTGAATTTTAAGCTTGTGTATAGTGTAAAGCTTTCTATAACAGTGACCGTGGCTAGGATAGTGCCAGTAAGTACTCAAGGACAATGACAGTAAGTACCCCAGGAGAGTGACAGTGAGTAAAGAAAAGTCCAGATTCTGTTATGTACGAATAATTTTGTCATTGTTATGTTATGTTATGTTATGTCATGTCATGTTATGTTATGTTATGTTATGTTACATCTTGATTTTTCACACTACAATCACCACTACACCATCACCATACTACACTCACCACTACATCATCATCACACTACACTCACCACTACACCATCATCACACTACACTCACCACTACACCATCACCACACTACACTCACCACTACACCATCACCACACTACACTCACCACTACACCATCATCACACTACACTCACCACTACACCATCACCACACTACACTCACCACTACACCAACACCACACTACACTCACCACTACACCATCACCACACTACACTCACCACTACACCAACACCACACTACACTCACCACTACACCATCACCACACTACACTCACCACTACACCATCACCACACACTACACTCCACCACTACACCATCATCCTACCTCACCACTACACCATCATCTACACTCACCACTACACCATCATCACTACCTCACCACTACACCATCACACCACAATCACCACTACATCATCATCACACTACACTCCACCACTACACCATCACCACCTACAATCACCATTACACCAACACCACACTACACTCACCACTACACCATCACCACACTACAATCACCACTACACCATCACCACACTACACTCACCACTACACCATCACCACACTACACTCACCACTACACCATCACCACACTACACTCACCACAACACAGGAAAACTAATAATTATTGGTGTTAGTAGATTACAGTCCATTAATTAAGGTAATACGTGTTTCCTTCAGGTACTGGACCATTGATCGAAGCTTGGCCAGGAAGAGAGAGAGAAGTGGCGGCAGCTACACACAGATTAAGAGAAACTTACGAGAACGAGGACAACTATTCGAGGATAATGAGTTTACCACTACCTCGAGGTCTCTGTTCACCAATAAGAAACCTCATCTTGGACCTATCGTTTGGATGAGACCACATGTAAGTGTTCTCTAATATTGGTTTCTGTTTTCATAATATATTTTTTTGTAGGTCTGTTTAACCCTTTGCGTCCTGGAGGGTTAAATCATCGTCCTCAATGGGTTAAATCATCGTCCTCAAAGGGTTAAAACGTCGTCCTCAAAGGGTTAAATCATCGTCCTCAAAGGGTTAAATCATCGTCCTCAAAGGGTGAATAGAGAGAATCAATTTTTATTTTTTTATTTAATTTTTTTTTTTTGGGGGATTTACGACTTGGGTTTTGATACTGTTTCCGATGCCGTCTTTTGTTTAGGGACGATTAACTCCTTGAGGACGATGGTTGAAGTTATAACTCATTGAGGACGATGGTTGAAGTTATAACTCATTGAGGACGATGGTTGAAGTTATAACTCATTGAGGACGATGGTTGAAGTTATAACTCATTGAGGACGATGGTTTAACCTATAATCACCAATGAGGTTAATCCATTGTTCTCAAGGGGTTCAAACTAAATTAGAAGATACTCGGTCACTGAACCATACACGTGGTAGTACCAGAGAGACGTGTACGACTGTATAGATGATGACCACGTATCTGATAGTAATATTTAACCTTCCTCGTCACATTCTCATCGTAAACAACACAATCTATCAAGGGTCGGTGTTTCAAGGTCTGTTCATTATTCTTTTACATTAACTTGAAAAGAAAAAAAAACAATAATAACAGGTAGAAAAGTTGCAAAAGAACCTGAATGGAGTTTTGTATACCATTTCCGACCTTACATTTTATGCCTTAAATTATGTGAGACAATTATAATGAAGTCTAATAGTGTCACAGCTGCGAGGAGAATTTAACATGTGAACTCCCTCCGAGATTATGGTGGCAGGGTTTTGGTGTAGACGAGGCTGAGAGTAGCCTTCTTATCTGGCTCTACCCGGCGTCAGCACTCAAGAGCCATCACACCCCTCTCTTTACAAGCAGTTGTGGACTTCAGGTGCCCGGGGCCATAACATAAAAAATATATCTAATTTTTTTTCTATGTTGGGAATTGGATGACTTTAATGTTCTTACGCTGGCGACAGACAGACAGACAGAGAGACAGACAGACAGACAGGGCATGTGTGAGAGAGAGAGATAGAGAGAGAGAGAGAGAGAGAGAGAGAGAGAGAGAGAGAGAGTCGGTAAAATGAAAATAAACAATGAGAAGAAGAAAGTATAAATGAAAGGATAAAAAAAATGATAAAATTAATAAAACAAAATGTTAACTGTGTACATAAGACGAAGATCATTTACTTAATAAACAATTCCAGTCAAATACAAAGAAGTTTAACATCTGAGACACGAGAAAAATATATCAAGTCACTAAGAGGAATTATGACTCGAGATGAAACACTGTGGAAAAAAAAAGCCCAAAAGGTAAGCAATTAACAGTAAATAATTATGACCTTTATTATCACTAAGTTACATTACACGTCATTAAAAAAGATATATTGTTAATTATATATATTTTTTATAATATACCTGCACGAACACCTGTAGCAGTCTCTAGGTGGTCAAGTGGTAACCGTGACTTGGTGTAGGAGTCTCTTGAGGTAGTGCAGAAAGTCTCCACCAGTACATACGGCGGCGCTACGGGTGGTCCTGACTCTAACATGACCAGGCGGAGTGTGTTGTAAATCTTGTTGTGTTGATGGTGTTGTGTGGCTGTGTTGACGGTGTTGTGTGGCTGTGTTGACGGTGTTGTGTGGCTGTGATGGTGTTGTGTGGCTGTGATGACGGTGTTGTGTGGTTGTGTTGACGGTGTTGTGTGGCTGTGATGGTGTTGTGTGGCTGTGTTGAGGGTGTTGTGTGGCTGTGATGATTTGTTGTGTGGCTGTGTTGACGGTGTTGTGTGGCTGTGTTGACGGTGTTGTGTGGCTGTGATGGTGTTGTGTGGCTGTGATGACGGTGTTGTGTGGTTGTGTTGACGGTGTTGTGTGGCTGTGATGGTGTTGTGTGGCTGTGTTGAGGGTGTTGTGTGGCTGTGATGACGGTTCAGTTAGTTTTAGTTTAATTAGGTTATGTTAGATTAGGTTATGTCATGTGAGATCAGATCAGGTTAGATTACAGTAGTATTAAGGTGATTATTCTCACAGTGAAATAAACTCGGGGTTAATCCACACATAATCCTACTTAATATCATTGTTATTTAGTCAATCCAAAACAAACTACATTTTAATAACCCCTAACACACCGGCCCACTCCTCTGTATGGGTCCGCACACAGGGAGTCGAATATCAGTCGCTCTCACCGATAATCAAGAGCCATTATGATCTTGCACGTATTACTAGGAATATGTAAAGGAGAGTTAAATACGTCGAAACCAATGGAGAGAGAGCTGTGAGTGGTAAAGGGAGGTGAAGTTGGGGAGATTGTATTCAAGAGAGAGGAGGAGAGGGAGAAGGAGTGGGAAGAAGAAGGATAGTTGAAAGTAGTGAGGATATTTAGGTTAAGGATGGATTGGTGTGATGGGTGATGGGTGTGTGGCAAAGGGGAGAGCTTACAGGTCTTGAAAGCCTCTCCTCCCTTAAAACTTTTTCCACCAAAGTATAAACAAACTATCTGGGAGAGAGGAGAGTGTGGGGGAGGGACTATGGAAGGTGTTTAGGCTATGTACTTTATGTTTCGTTGACAAGGGAGTTAAGTTCAGTACACTAGGATAAGTGACGAGACCTAGTGAATAATAAATAGTGTTTTCGCGGATCTGACGTGTCCTTAAGTGCAGTAAAATATTCAGTGAAAGTTTGAGGATAAATTTGAATAATGAATAATGTGAGAAGAAACATTACCTGCACCTTTATTTAGTGATAGGAATACACCTTCATGTTACTTGTATAGCGTCTTACCTTATGTAAATGAGCTTTTCTCCGTCAGTGAGTGAGTGAGTGAGTGACATTCCTCATCATTAAATAACGACAAATATGAAACTTCTGTATAAACATAACCTTAAATATACTTAAACCTGACTAATTAGTATCAGCAGGTAAAGGTAATACTGTCACGTCTTTCATCGAGGTAACTGTAGTAGGAGGAGCACACTATGGCCTGGAACTCTACACAGTGCAGAGAGTTATAGTAAGCTGAGTGCCTGTTGTTGGTCGCCTGAACACAGATGTCATGGGTCAACAATATTGATGGGGTGAGATGGTGGCACTGTTGATGGGGTGAGATGGTGGCACTGTTGAGGGTGTGAGATGGTGGCACTGTTGATGGGGTGAGATGGTGGCACTGTTGATGGTGTGAGATGGTGGCACTATTGATGGTGTGAGATGGTGGCACTGTTGATGGTGTGAGATGGTGGCACTATTGAGGGTGTGAGATGGTGGCACTATTGAGGGTGTGAGATGGTGGCACTGTTGATGGGGTGAGATGGTGGCACTATTGAGGGTGTGAGATGGTGGCACTATTGAGGGTGTGAGATGGTGGTACTGTTGAGGGTGTGAGATGGTGGCACTATCGATGGTGGGTGTAACAGCATCACCACAAGTAATAACACAGCAACATGGGCGGGTGGGTGGTGGGCGTAACAGTAATACCGTGGAAGAAAGAAGCACAAGTGAGTAAAGAAGGTCATCTTACACCCACATCTAATGTACCAATTACTACTGCCGCTTCCCCGCTAACACCATTAACCTAGGGGTCGTCTTCAAGGCTCCCGGACCCTAAGAAGGTATGGAGGTATACCCGTGAAACACCATTACTGTCAGAATGAGTTAAGGCTCACAGGGATCAACCGATAGACTTACCCTTTGCTGCCATTTTTTCTTGGCTGATATTTTTTTTTCTTATTTTTCTTATTTGTGTTTTTGTTCCATTTTATTAAGTTTATTTGCATCTTTATTTCTTAATCTTTTATTTATGGTCAGGTAAGATGAATCACCTGTGCATCTTTCTTTGCAACTTCCAAGTATTCCATGTAATGTATAATATGTATATGTATAAGTTTTAATTTATATAAGTGATAATCAGAAAAAATATCTACTTTTTTTCATATTAAGAAATTGATTATGAGTAATATACCCGAGTTATTATATATTGTATTATGTTATTCGGATCTATTTTTGGTTAGGTTAGGTTAGTATCTTCATGCAGCACACCACTGGCAAATGTTATGAGGACACGAATGGAAAGATCACACACCTGGGGAAACATATATCTATAACAGGAGGGAGAGGAAGAGAGGGAGGAAGAGAAAAGGAGGTAGAGGAACTGAAGGAGGAGGAGGAAGAGAAAGAGAGAGAAACCTACACAAGGCAGAGATCAACTTTCTCCCACATCCTCCTTCCGCACACACACACACACACACACACACACACACACACACACACACTCCACACACACACACACACACACACACACACACACACACACACACACACACACACACACACACACACACACACACACTATCTTCATCTCCTGGGTTATGTGACAAAAAACGTGGAGTATTGGCCACCCATCAAGTGCCTCTCTGCCTCAGGTTCTCCCTCACTGGACCATCTACTAGTGTAAACAAACTAGGGAACATTGATGAATAAGTTACTATTATCTGAGGCAGTGTTTACTATGCACGTGTCACCCTTTCAACATTCTTATTCCTACCATCAGCATCACAAACTTTTATTCTCATTTTAGAACCATATTTCTCTATCATGAACAAATTAACAAGGGAATATTTCTCACTCATGTATCTAGGCACGTCATTGGTGCATAACTTAGGAGTAACTTCAAGAACAACACGGGAAAAGGTAAACATTTATGAATTAGTAGGAGGCGTTTGACAGGTGGGAGGGAAGACTGCTGCCACCACACGCTACGCTAACCCCAGTGTAAGATTAGCGAGGTAGAAGCATGGGAACACACAACCACTCTTTAATATTCTCAGTACACACTAAAACAGATACCGTATATTAAGAGCTACAATACCGCCATATTAGTTGTTATTATATCCGGTTTATGATCTTCCATAATGTAATTCTTGA